GTGATTTATTTAATAGTGATCATTTTCAACAGACAGCAGGATCTAATTGTTCAACGAAGCAATGAACACAGCATAAACATATGGCCAATTGACTATTATGTTAGAACAGAAGAGAGGTAGTCAAATAAAGTAAGTTCTTTATTCTTTCACCAGAGAGACAGAGGAAGAGACGCAGACAGAGAGAGAGGTAACGGTGTCCAGAGAAAGCTGGAAGAGGCGGTAGAGTAGAGTTTGTCGAAGGAAGGGAGAGAGAGGGGCATCATGGGACTCCAGGTGGAGTCTGTAGTGAAGACCGCAGTACCTTTGAGTTTCTCCCGCATTAGATTAAAGGCCTGAAGGGGTCTTAGTCTGGCTAGCACCTGCTCACACTGGTTCATTAAAATGGGACCAGGGAAAACAAGGGGGCCTATGGGGGGGAAAGAGAAACTTTCACATGCATGGGGCAAAGGATCTCACAAATGGAAAATAAATAGGGATGCACCGATACCATTATTTCAGAACCGATCCAATCACAAAAATTCTGAGTATCGGCCGATACCGATCCGATACTAGCACAGTATTTTTTTTTTTTTTTTTTTTTAATAAATTTAGCTCTGATGTGGGAAAACATATATGTAGAGAATATTAAACACGTGTAGACAGTCACGATGCCATTTTTTCAGAACTGATCCGATCCGATACCAAAAATTCTGAGTATCGGCTGATACCGATACCAATCCGATACTAGCAGTTTAAACAAAAAATCAGTGTAGATATCTATACCTCTGTGTGTTGACCAGATCATCACTGGTTTGTGTATGTTAAATACAATCTATTAAATATAGACAACTTCACTATACAGAAAAATAACAAATGAAAAATAGACAATACACATCAAGTATAATAATAGGAACATTGAATCATCTTGGAGAGCGTTTCATCGTCTTGACTGTCGTAACTGAATGCGACGCACAGATTGAATGCTGAATGGAGGATGACAGACAGCCGCAGCGGAGAGAAGAGTTTACGTGAACTTGTATTTAATGACTTTATTCATCTGTACCTCACATTAAACTATGGAATGGCTTCAGAACACTTGGAATGTAGTGCACAAAAACTTTATGGTTCTTTATAATGTTGTTGTGCCTTTCTTGGGGCTTAACAATAATACAGAATAGTATATGCTGAATATCGGATTTGGATCGGTCTCGTCTAACCGATACCCGATCTGGCAGAAAATTGCAGTATCGGATCGGTGCATCCCTAAAAATAAAACATGGTATATAACACATGGTATATTATGAGAACACAAGCTAGAAGGGAACATCCACAAGCAACCCACTCCCAGAGAAAAAAAGCACATGTGAGCTAGAAGGTAATTCTGGCAGTCTGGATGATCAGTCCGTTTTGGAGTATTATTAAACCCAGAGGAACATTTTATGGAAAATGTATGATGTGCTCATAATCAAGTTTGTATATAACAGAGTGAACTTGAGAATGGATTATGATTAGATGTTTCTGGGGGGGCGGGGAGGGGGTGGAAACAAGTAATGTATGCAGTGGCCTGTCTACTAAATTATTGTCAAATTATAGAGCAAAAAAAGTTTCTGACGTTAAAAAAATGATAATATTAGAGCTGGATGATATACCTAAAAACGTATATAATATAATTTACAATTTAATTTGTAATTTATATAATTTATAAATATATATCATTTATATTTAATTTATATATATTTATTTATATTATTTATATTTAATATAAATAAATACAAATAAAATAACATTTGATTTTATGAAATACATATGCAATTAAATATCTAATAAAGTATCAAATAGCAAAAATGCATTAAACTGATCAAAAGTGATAAAGACATTTATAATGATACAAAAGATTTCTATTTTTTGTAACATTTTCTATATCAAATAAATGCTGTTCTTTTGAACTTTCTATTCAGTAAAAAATCCTGAAAAAAATTATCATGGTTTCCATAAAGATATTAGGCAGCACAACTGTTTTCAGCACTGAGAATAACGAAATGTTTGTTGAACAGCAAATCAGCGTATTAGAATGATTTCTGAACGATCATGTGACACTGAAGACTGGAGTAATGATGCTGAAAATTCAGCTTTGATCACAGAAATAAATTACATTTTAAAATATATTAAAATAGAAAACAGTTATTTTTAAATTTTAATAACATTTTACAATATTACACTTTTAACTGCATTTTTGATTTATTAAATGCAGCCTTGGTGAGCATAAGAGACTTCTTTCAAATACTGACCCTAAACTTTTGAATGGTAGTGTATAAAATTGCATATATCGCACAGCTCTGGCTTTACATAGTAAAGATTTTTTTTTTATTTTTTTAAACTGCATCATAGTGGAGTGGAGTAGTATGATTGTGCGTCAAACGTGCGGGGTGTCTGGGTTTATTCTGGGGTCTGGTCATGTAGACGTCATACCTCGGCCCTCTTCCAGCCGATGCCGGCGGTTGATGCGCTGTCTCTTCTCCTCCTGTCGAATCTGGGTGTGCTCCTCTATATTGACGCCTGGGGGAGGAGGGACAGGCACAGCTAAAATAACAGAGGTCCAGCACAGGCGGGGCCAAAGGAGGAGACAAATGAGAAACAACACAGGCGGGTGAATGATGAGCATGAGACGCAATGCAAGACAGTGAGAGACAAGAGCAGAGAGATGATCCCAACAAAACACAAACACAGTACTGCTTCACTAGGCCAATATACAGAGACAACACTGCCAAAGCAGCCAGTGACCGATGATCTGCATTAGGACTGGGCAGTATAACTGTACACCACATGATGGTAGAAATCAGCCAAGTTAGTTTTTATGAATGCTGCAATGCATATTTTTTTATAAGTGTTCAATAGCCAATGTGCAAAACTGATTTTTTTCCTTTCCTCTTGGCATATAAATAAATGAATTAATTAATGAATTAATAAAATTATTATTATTATAAACTATTATTTTTCCTCATGGTTATTAAATTATATTTTACATATTTTATATATATTTTATAAATATTGCAATTGTTGGATTTTCGTTCTGTCCTTCCCTAAGCTGAATATTTCATGCATGCAGAACGTATGGCTGAACATATGACATGAACGTGGCCCGCAGACAGGAAAGGGATGTGATTTGATGGCTATGAAACTGTACTGAATGTGATTGGATGACACCACAGTACCTAACAGCAGGTCCAGCGGTATCATTTCCTTCACAGCATCAAAGATTCCTCTCTGTCTGGCCTCCTGACCATCCAGCTCTCTGGCACAAGCCTTACAGCAGCCACATGACGAACAGCCCGACTCACCAGAGCCGCAGCCACAAATCCTGCAGAGGACAGACACAAATAAACTGATAAGGGCTATCACTGATGCAATGAACTGCAGTAGCACCTCTTTTAATCGATATACAGAATAATAAATATCAGAGGTAGAAAGTAACAAATTACAACAACTCCCATATAAAAAGTACATTTTTAAAATATTTTTCTACTTTTTATAATTAAGAAGAAGGATCACTTTTAGTATAATTAAATTGTGGTATGTTCACAAAAAAGACATAACATCCCTAAATAAATGTTCTAAACCTATGCAATGAAACATAACATTTAGCAAAATTTGCAAGAAACGAAATCGTCTAAAAGTTAAATACTGTTGTGCCACCCCAATTTTTATTTACACAATTTGGTAGATCTGTTTTTTGAAAATCAGCCTCACATCAGTCTAAATAGGGCTTTTAAGAAGTGAGGCATAGTGTCTTTTTAGGGTTTAAAGGAATAGTAGTTTGTTTCTACATTAAAACCGATTTGGAGAAATTTAGCATTACATCACTCGCTCAACAATGGATCTTCTGCAGTGAATGGGTGCCGTCAGAATGAGTAATAATCCACACGACTCCAGTCCATCAATTAATGTCTTGAAAGCGAAAAGCTACATGTTTATAATAAACAAATCCATCATTAAGATGTTTGTCGGCACCCATTCACTGCAGAGGATCCACTGGTAAGCAAGTAATGAAGTGCTAAATTTCTCCTAATCTGTTCTGATGAAGAGATTAACTAATTTACATCTCGGATTGCCTGGGGGTGAGTACATTTCAGAAAATTTCAATTTTTGGGTGAACTATTACTTTAAATAATGAGCTAATGCCTTTTCAATTCAATGAACACCTGGTAGTTTACTTCTTTTTACTTACTCGCACTCGAGTCACATTATCTTTCAGTACTTTGACATGTATTCAAGTGAATTATTTCAAGTTGAAATACTTTTACCCAAGTTAAAATTTTGGTAAATATTTGGAACTGACATATGCAGACTCAAAAATGTCACAGAGATTGGCCCTTAAACTCAACATACATGTGCTACATTGCTTGCCATTTATTTACATTCTCAAACCTTCATGACTGAAAAAGCAGAAAACGAAGAATTTAGTTAGCAATGTATAAATTAAAAGAAAAAAAATCTAAATGAATTAATCACTTTTCTATTAATTATTATTTTATAATTAAAAGTAGCTACATTCTTAAATATGACTTAAATTTCATTTTATTTATTTGTTCATTTGAAAAGTGATTCTTTTTTAGATGTAATTGTATTAACTAATATTTTTAGTCATGTCCCTTGTAGCCCATTTAGCAAAAAAAAATACTGTTTTGACACAAATCTCTTATTCTGAATGTTGTCAGTAGCTGGATAATCGTGATGATCTGTGTAAACATGTCTGGTGCGGTCTGTAGTCATCACTCTGTGTGTGTGTGTGTGGTTTGGTTTCTCTCACCCTCCTGGCACTCTGTCTGGTCTGCCGCTGCTCACACAGCTGGCTCCGTACCCGGTGCAGTCTCCACACACGGTGCACACCATACACTGGTCCAGCTTCCACTTGTGCATGCCTGGCTGACACATAAAGTGTACATTTTCTGAATCTATGTGGAGATTTCACTGTGATCAGAACTTAGCGCAACACATCAGAACTAAAAAAATAAATAAATAAATTAGGCATTATACTGTCTCGCGGTGGCCATGTTCTCTACTCCAAATGCTACGGCAGGAAAACATCAAATCACAAACACTCTTTCAAACACAGCTGACCCCACCGCCTGTGAATAATCACAGCATGAGAGAGTCGACTGAGGAATATTTTCATGTCTATGTATAAGACGCAAGTGCACGTGGACGGGAGTGCCATTTTTTCTGTAGTAAAGTTTATTTAAATAACTTATAAACTTATTATGATGCTCTTTGGCCTGCTAATGTAAATCTTATTTTGTGTCTAACCAAATATATAACACTGTTGTAACAATATTATAACTTTACTAAAATAAGTCATGTAAATGTAGTTTTTATACCAATATATTTCCATTAACAATAATAATAATAATGTAGTAATGGTCGACTAATATGGAATTGTTTTGATGACTGAAGCCAGTATCTTAAAGCAGGGTGGCAGATGGCTGATGTAAAGCCTGTACGACATCACACTATTTCATTTAAATTTATTAAAAAACACGTACATAAATTCTGCAATCTAATCTAATCTAATATTTTGTACAATAATTAAAAAATATATAAGATAAAAAATATTGAGCATAATAAAACTGTAAAATAAACACCTAGCTAGCATTCTATTTGGTGTAATTTTCTGAAGATGGTCAGGAATATTCAGGGCCTTTGCTAATGTATCATTTTCACATTTGGTGTGAAAAGCATTAAAAGGTTCTCACCTTTCCCTGCCTGGCTCATGGCTCCAGTGTCTCGGCCACACTGGCCCTTGTTGTTCACTCCAAATGTCCACACCTCCCCGCTCTTGGTCAGGACACAGGTGTGAGCTTTTCCCATGGCTACCTGAGTTACAAAGTGTCCCTTCAGATCTGACACCTGACCTGTGATGATGAGGAGGGAAGTTTAATATAAAGGAGCTGTGAAGCATTTTTTAAAAACACAGTAAAAATAACATTTTTAAATGTGCACATTATTTACACATGAAACCTAATTGGTTACAATTCTGTATATTCAGAGATGTTGCACTCATATTACCTGTGATTACAATGAAAGGTTAGGCAAATTTATCAGTACATTTTGCGTCTTATCACATATAATTGCCGTTAAATATAGGGCCAAATGATTTCTGCGTTGTGGAAAACACTGACAGAAACACGGAATCCAGTCATAAAAAATTTAATTTACAGTAAAGAAAATTTTGGTTTAACTGAAAGAGATTGTGACAAATATATTACTCTTGTACAATAGAAAGTACTTAAGTAATAATAATAATCAATAAAAATATAATTATTAAACTAAGAAATCTCACAATTTTTCTTGCATGTTTTTATTTTAACTGTGCCCTCTGTTGTGCAGCACTGTTTGTCCAAAAATGTATGGAACTGTTACATTTTTATTTGACTTCATTAAAAAAAAAAAAATCTGGTAAACTGTTAATGTTTTATGTCTTCATTTGATTACCACCATTTTTTATAATAAATTTGTATTAAATCATAATTCCAGAAAAAAAACACAAATTCTAAAAAGATAAAATTGCATAGAGCGCTATTATTGTAAAAATGTTAATACATTTTTTGAAATTGTTAAAGTTTTATTAATTCAGTTGATTAGACATGCTTTATGAGTATTAACATTTATTTAAACCATTAAAATGGAATCCAGAAAAATTTAAATGGAAAACACAAAATTTGGGGAAAATGAAAAGGAATTTGGAAAAAAATAAAACTTTTATTGGGCCTATAATTTATTTAATTTTAATTAATATTATATTTTATGTAAGTTTCATGATTTCAGTAATTTGGCTTTTTTTATTACTTGATTTTTTTAATACAGTTTTAATATAATCGTTAAAACAGAATCCAGGACAATAAAAAAAACAATGAAATTTGGGGGGAAAAAATTATTTCATAGGGCCCCCTAAGTCGGATACACAGTTTGACGTTTGAATATGCTGCAAGAACTCACCATGCACCAATCGGTGATGACGGTATTTGAATATTCTGAAACTCTGCTTCAGGATTGGTAAAGAAATATGAATCAATGAATTGCGAAACTGAGTATTCCATATGTAGAGCACGAACTGCAGGAATATTTGCCATATCAGCAAAGTTAAGCTGGCAGGGAACCCATTAAAAAAAAATTTAAAAAAAACACCGGAAACCATTTAAGTACGTAGTCTGAACATCCAAATATGGTGTTTTCTAAATATGTCCCCCTTTTGTGAATGTGGAGCATGTACTGGCTCTAAATAATCTCTTCCACAGGAGACAGATATATGATTTTACAGACAGCAATATGATAAGGCCATCATTTCATCCCTGCCAACATTACGAGCATCTGGCAGGTGGCGCTTACAGGTACTGTCGCTGTAAATGGCATCCTTGCCAAACATGTAGAGCTCTCCATCTTTAGTGACAATGCTGCTACTGCCATTGTTGCAGGCCGTATAGATGGCGGTCTTGGTCTCGAGTTTGATCATCTTCTTGGGTTTGTAGGGCTTTGGTTGTCTCCTGCTCTTTGCTAAAGACAGACAGCATCACAAGCGGTTGATCTACGTGCAAAAACATTATTTCAGATCAAGTATGTACACGATAATAATTTCCGTCATACTTGACTCTCCGTCCTCCCCTTTGCTGGCAGAGCCCGTGAAGAAGACGCTCCCATCCTCCGCCACCAGCAGGGCGTGGGAGCCGTCATGGCCCACTGAGAACTGCACAATCTTGGGCGACTTAGTTACTGGCAGCTCCACCCACTTCCCAGCCGACGGGCCGCCCTGCTTGATACCGAGGCTCTGATACTTTCCAGTATAGTAGATCTGCATCAGAGGAGAGGAAGTCAATCATGTTTAAGTCTCCCTTGTGTGTTATTAATTCTGCGCGCAATGGCCTCAACAAATACTTCTGTCAGATAATAGAAATGAACCGCTGAAATGACACTCAAGAACTGTCATACGGACGCTAGTTAAGGCACTCAAGTAGTGATAGGACAACTCTTTTGCACCAGCCTATAACTGCACCCAAATGGTGTATTTAAGGGATAGTTTACACAAACACACAATATCTGTCACTGTTTCATCTCCATGTTGTTCTAAACCTGTATGATTTTTTCGCTTTCGTAGACAACAAAAGGAAATCTGAAGCTTCTGAAATTTTCCCTTCACTGTAGCTCACAAATATGATTTGCGTAATTTGAATGTGTACCTTTGTTACAACATACAAGGCCAAATGTCACAAATATATCACTCAACAAATCTGGCATGACATGTCTTGACATGTCGTTGAGAGTGGCCGGTTTGAGTAGGGGTGGGCTTATATCACGGTAAGAGTCATTTTATCTCACGCTAACATTATATAATCACAATATAGTTATTTTTGCTTTAAGTAAGGTCTTTATGATATCAAAACATACTAATACTAGCCCAAATAAAAAAATATAAAAAAAACTCAAGTTCACTGAAGACAAGTAAACAGTCAGCGATTAAAGGAAGAATAAGAAACTAATTACAAGCAATAGGACCAAAAAACTACAGTACAACACATAATAAGAAATACTACATACATTGTATAAAGTAATCGAATGTATAAAAACACTGCATATTCTTCACTGTGTAAATTAAATATATATCTCTTCTTACTAAAGTTACAAAAGTGATTTAGACAAGAGCAGTGAGAGATTTTCTCTTTTATTGTTTGATTAACATGAATGACAGACAGCAGGAATATTAGACTGCTGTAACTTTAAGAGCTGCCCGACCAATATACTGTTACACATGTGTTTTCTTTCTCAGCAGACACATAGTAGTGTGTGTATTTAACCGTTCAAGGCCTACAAAGCAGCAAAAATAACTCAAAAGTTCAATACTCCCGTGCTCTATGAGCACTGTCTTCACGTGCACGCATATAACGAAATTAGTTCTCTTTCGCTGCTGACTGCGTTTCATCGGCTTAAAATCACTTGTTTTTAAACCGCAATGCTTAAAAGCACATGCAAACGATACGTTTTCGTGACCACACAGCACAGCAACATGAGCATGTAACTGCAATAGAAACGAAAGCCCAAAATCTCTACCGTCTAATCGTGTCTACAGGTGCTAGCAGAGTTTGAGTAATGAAAATTGTTTTATGTTTTAGTTTCAGTTAACTAAAATAACCCTGAAACACACATACAATAGTATCATTGGCCATTTAAAGGCACAATATGTACGATTTTTCGTAATAAAATATCCAAAAATCATGCAGTTGTGTACTTGCATTATCCCAAAAGTTCCCAAGGATTTGCAAATCCAGAGAAATTTCAATTTTAAATAATGGCTCGTCCCTTGTCATTGTGAATTGTGAAGTGCTCTGCATTTAATATATCCAAGTGCACACACAGTAGTGAACACACACACACCGTGAACACACATCCGGAGCAGTGGTCAGCCATATTGCTGCGGTGCCCGGGGAGCAGTTGGTGGGTTCGGTGCTCAAGGGTCTCACCTCAGTCGTGGTATTGAGGGTGGAAGAGAGCACTGTACAGTACATTCACTCCCCCCACCGACAATTCCTGCCGGACCTGAGACTCGAACCCGCAACCTTCGGGTTACAGGTCAGACTCTCTAAACATTAGGCCACCTTGTCACCTATCAATAGCCCTATTTGGACGGTAATTGTTTCTCAGGGGGACATAAGGGATTTTAACCATTTACGGGGGGTAGTTGGTGATTTTAATGCCGTCCGAATCCAGGATGTCGGTGTTTTTCTCTCACCACCCGCGTAAAAATCCCCAGCTGAATTACCTACTGTTTTTTGACAAACACCAAGGTCATGTGGTCATATAACTGCCGTCCGAATCCACATCTCTGAGGTTCTAAAAGGAGATCAATCCAAAAGTCGTTTTGTAAATCCTTTTTGATGACTGAAATGCACCGTACGGTTGCACTTCGCGGTAATTTGTATCAGAAAAGTGGCATCTCGTGCATTAAAAATGGACACCTACATCACCGAAGTACTAGAAATTTAGAAAGCTAGAAAGCTTCTCGCCACACCGCCTCCCACATTTTATGATTATGAATAGTTTTGTCGAATTGTTTTTGAAATTTTGGATCTCCCACACTGACATTAAAGTTAGTGTTTCTTCGCGCGTCCAGTGTTGCTTCCTTGTCGCCATGTTGAACATCTGACTGAGCACGTCAATGATCATGTGACTTGACTACGAAAGACACGCAGTTCCGGGTTCATAGAATTACAAACTCAGACGTCCACCGCAAATTTATCTTCATCCGAAAGCATGTGTTTAATCACTGAGGAGTAATGGAGATTTATTTTTTACAGACGTCCCCATGAGAAACAATTACCGTCCGAATAGGGCTAAATGACGTTATATCTGTGCTATCGGTTTCCTCTTGTAGAAACTATGGCAACACACGTGGACAAAAATGCCGCTGCAGATTTAAACTAAGTTCATTACGGCTGTCGCGAATAAAATGACAATGAAATGAAAACTGTTGACTGCAGCATTAAATTTAGATCTGCTCAATGTTGCATCATGATTCTTTTTACGTGTTTTTACAGTGTTGCGCATTATAACCAATCAAAGACGAGTCTGTTGAGTTTATGAACGCAGCGGCCAATCAGAGGCATTCAGATGAGTCATCGCTGAAACAGGAGTTTTGTTGTTCAATGCGCGCTCGCTGACTGAATTCTGCTCTCTCACAAATTCATAAACCACAAAGTGCAGATGCACATATGATGTCATTAAGAGATTCGTTCATCAAACAGTGTAGACAGCTTCACTGATTATAATGGGAGTTTTTGAGAGTGCTTGAACTTGCGCTAGCCTGAAGTCAGTGATGATGTTCTTTGATAATGTAAATGTTCTTTGCTCGCTTTCTCTGTATAATTTATTCGCTGTTTGAATAACTGTGGGAGGTTAAGTTAATAAAAAATGCATTCATTACCTCATCCGTGAACATGATTTGTGAATTCCATACATCTCTGGATGGTGAAAATGACATCACCCATTGTTTTTACTCTCCTTCATAGCATCATCAAGCTTCGCCTTTGTTATTGTTTTGAAAATGCGACCTCTAGTGGCAAAAACTTACATATTGTGCCTTTAAAAGTCATTTCAGTAACATACACTTTGAGGTGATTAATGAAATATAGCAGCATAGCATTTTAAAACTTTAAAATGTGTCATGTGGGAAGCTAATACTGTACTTCTGTAAAGGAAAACACAATAACCACAATCAATGATGACAGAAAACACATGTCAGCATTTCTGCAGTCCATAAAATGTATGTGACCATCTTTTATATTACAGGCCACGGCGTTTATTAAGAAAGTTGCCCAGTCATGACTCTACACTGCTACACACACATGACTGGATAATTTCCAGATAAGGTAAAGACTGAGTTTAGTCTTACAGAATGATAAACCTACAGCAGCTCTCATATCTCATGAGGCCTGGCACATACTCACTGCACCTCCCTAAAACACATTCCATAACTTCACATCAATGAGACACACCCAGCGTCCATTTTTTACTTTTTGCCACACCTGACAACAGCAGGTCGACTGAGATAATAAACCGGCCATAAATTATTAACCGACGTAATTTAACAAAGCATTTTTTTTTACAATTCCTAATCAAGTTACTGCCAGATGGCTAAACTGTTTTATGTACTTGCCAAAGCTGATTTGTACTTGCACTTAGTGCTCATTGTGTGTCAGTTTTGGATACGATCCACTCCCCTGTATTTGTACTGCGTGAGGATCACGTGTAAATACACACAAGCTGTGCTCGCTTTGGCCTCTCAAACGCTCCAGCCTCACAGAGTGTTAAAGAGCCTCGGCGCTCAACTGGAAGGGTAGAATAATCAAATTACTTCCAGTTATTTAAGCATGTGTGCGGCTCTACAGGCTGCCCTTCTCTGCTGCTGCTGTCGCTTTCACACCAGAGACAGCATCACTGCCATCAGCCCTGCCTGCTAGACCTAGTGTGAACCTCACACACTGATGAAACATGTAGTTTCATACCCTTACTCACTCGCACAACCTCCATCCGATGTAGATTTATGAAGATTACGAAAAAAATGTGCATATTTAATGGCCAGATGATTGCGCACTAGCTAAATTTAACTGTGCTTCAGTGCTCTTTTATCACTTGTCAACAGACCCAGTTTTCTTTAATCGTACAAAAGCATTTCTATTACTTATAGTTTGGATTCATAGTGACACAAGCTAAGGCAGAGTAATATACATTTATATATTTTTTGCTCTCCAATAAGTACATGAATAGGTAAAAAAAATAAAATAATAATAATAAAAAATAATAATAAATGGAAATAGGAGATGTTTAATTGTAATGACAATTTTTTCTTAATCCAAAACATCAACATAAACCAAAAGTTGCAACTGACTTCCATATTGTGACATTTTCATACATCAGCAAAGAGAAGTGAACAATATTGCAGGAAGATATGGGACTCTGATTAAAGATTACAGGGTCAAAAAGTACATCTATTTTTGATTTCAAGTATATATATAATTTTTTGATTTTATGTTAACTTATTGGTCCTTAAATAGACTTAAAGGGGTCCTATTATGCTCTTTTACAAAGTCTTTATTTTGTTTTGGGGGTGTACTAGAACAGGCTCTCATACTAGGTTGTTTGAAAAACACACTATTTTTCACATATTTTACATTATTACAACACCTATCTCCCCAGGCTAGCATGAACAGATCGAATAGTTCCTGTATCAAATGAAGGCCCGCCTTCTGAAATACGAAATGTGCTGTGATTGGTTGGCTGGGCCAGTGTGTGTTGTGATTGGCAGCACTCAGCGCCAGGTCTGGAAATGTCATGCCTCTTACCATAGCCGCCTGCGAGCTTCAGTGTAAATATTGAGTCAAAATCAAATAATTTTGAGCGTGATTTAAACCCGGATGATTGTAACCACTCTAAATTAGTCTGCCTTGGGAAAGTTAGCGTGTCTCCGACATAGAGATAACACTCGTTGCCTTCTCTAGTGCAGCGTTACATATCTTTTTTATGCTCAAACAGCAACATTACAGACTAACTAAAGTTGAAAAAGTGAAAAAGCATAATAGGACCCCTTTAAATTCCAAAACATATTTTCTTAAAACCCAAACATGTTCTTCAAATGTTTACTGGCATTCAGTCGATCATGATCTGCTTTATCTTTACTTCTAAGCTGATGCTGTAATTATGCAAGACAGTAGCACTTCCACCACCACATGAAAAAATGTGTTCAGATTCAGTTAAACACTAATGCAGAGACACAGAGGAATATAGAGAGGTAGGTCTACCTTCCCAGATGCCGTTTTCATCAAAGCAAACTCTCTGCCAGCTCCAATCAGGGCTGCTTCCTCATCAAACCCTGTGCCTGAGGACATAAACACACACACGCCGCAAAAGAGACAACACCAAGTTAATTCTTTTCAACACGTACTTCCTCTTAAACACTGATGTGCATGCACAGACGTGTGTGCACTGAAGCACAGCTCTCACTAATGATATGAAGGTCTTTCTCCAGGTCAAAGAGGGAGATGCCACAGGCATGAAGACACTTCCTGGCCAGTTTGAGCTGCAGTTCCTGCTGTAGGGCCGGGTCTGAGCTGGTGGCGTAGATCCGCACCACAAAGCCATCCTAAAACAACCCAAACATATACACAAAAACATTAATAATCATCATAAAAACCCCGTCTCTTTCATCATCTGCGAAATGTAACGTCAATGTTTGGTAGCCAGTAGCAGAATTGAAACAATTATACGGTTATTAAACATTTAAATTGACCTGCAATAGAAGGTACTTTAGGAGGGTCATGTGAGGCATCTTTTTGATGCTAAAACACTTCTTATCCCAGGTAAATATGCAAAATTGACTACAAGCAAACATTTGTAGGTTGTTTCCGCTAAAGAGTATATTAAAAAGAGATGTTTTCAATACATGGTTCTGTTTGTTTGATCATCCCAGTTAGTTTGACATGGTGATCTTGGCTTGGCCAACCAATGGCTTGAGTTTGACTATCTGTTGCAGCAGGGCCAGTTCGGTTTCAATCCTTTGATAGTCTCGATAAGTTACCAATCCAAACTGCCCTGTCTAGTGTTTTATTTTTCAGGCAGTCTTCAGTGGCGAATGCTTTTGCCATTTGCAATCTGGGATTCTGCAGCGTCACTCTTTTGCTTACCTCAACTGCAGCTAGGCCTGGGCGATAAAACGGTATCTATATTTATCAACGGTACACCTTCTTCGATAACGATATAAAAATGTTCGATATAGTGCACGATATAGGCACGTGCTATGAGTGACGCAGACAGCACACACAAACACGAACATATGCTGAATTGAGTGCTGTGCCTGCCTGTGATGAGGAGATTGTGAATAAAAAAATTAATATTAGTCAAATTTAAAATAAACATTTGCATTTGAATGCAAAAATAGTACAATCAAATGTTAGGAGTGCATCAGGGAGCGTCATCAGTGGAGCACGAGATGCGGTGATGATGATGTAATTGACGTTGTTGCATTTTAAATGTTTTGTTAATCTAGCCCATGAGACGCGCCACTGCTGTTATGCATTCAAAATATTAGAGAAATATAGAAACTCACTGCGGAGAAGATCTTGATTAGGTTAAAACCGAAACCAAGCCATTCACACAGAATGCATATTCAGCGCATGCCTATTTAATCTGCATATAAAACATTAGAAAATTAGATATTTGTTTAATTTTTATTGTGTGTTTGACTGTTAAAACAAAAATATTTGTTGTTAGTCTCAATAAATTGGGTTAATTTAAAAATACAGTGGTTAAATGTAAAAAAAAAAATTATATTGCTCGTTGTTTTAAAAAAGGTTATAAAAAAAAGTCAATAATTATCGATCCCGAACGATATGAAACATTATATCGTTGATACATTTTTTAGCTATATCGCCCAGCCCTAAAGTCTGCAGCCTTTTAATACTTCTTTGAATACATCTTTCTGCTAGTAAGTGAGCTTCATGCACTGGCTGATTTGCACATGCAGTCATAATAGTAACATTTTAGTGAAATTTCATGGGCAAAAAAGGTCCATTGTCTATTATCAATAGTGTAGCGATGTATGACGCACATTTTACACAGAAGTCACTTTCAAACCAAGCAGCTTTCTAATCTGCGTTGATCAACTTGAACCTGTTGCAAAATATGGGGATGGGGTCTTTCACCCTCATGTGAAATTCCTGATTGCATGGATTCCCACTGAAATGACAAGATTTCGCCCGCATAAATTGGCCAAAGAAGTGCAAATGTGACTGCACCTTAACCCAAATTTCCATGTGTGAATCAGTCCATGGACGTGGCTGCTTCTAAACATTCTTCATACCAGTCTGGCGATAACATGACAATTCAACTGTTACATTTTGAATATTCTCTCATCAATTCCATCTTTTGAACATCCATGAAACCAACATTTCCAAGCTTCAAAATTCCTTGTGCATCAAGCAAGCACATTAGAGCTTCCGTTGACCATATTTAATATGCTCTATATATGTATATGTTTGGTGTAATAAACTTTCAATGGAGAGACAGAAATCTCTTTCATTAAAAATATCTTCACTTGTTTTTCAAAGTCTTGCTAGTTTGAAACAACATGAAGGTAAATGATGACAATCTCAGAGGCTTTGACACCATTAGAGGCTTTAGCCTCTCATCTGAGGGAGCAGCGAGTATGTGAGGGTCAAAGGGAGAATGCACACAGGAGATGCAAAGCAGAAACGCACCCTCACTACTAGCAGCAGCCTCACACATACTGAGCCAGTTTCATCCAGAAACACACGCACTTAAGTTCAGTGTTCAGTTGCATTAAGTGAGCATGTGATAAGAAACAGAAGACAACACACTGGAGTCTGATTTGCCGCTGTTAACGAGTATGTGAGTAAGCTTTCAAAAACCTTGCTCTTGCCCTTCGTCCTTCCTCAAAGATATGTGGCATAACAGTTCATAGCATTAACCCTTACAACTTCAACCTCAGCACTCCCTCACTTATCATCTCTCATTCATGTATGCATAAAGAAATCTTCAAAGGCAAATATGAATTATCACATCCCCTCCCTGTACTGCTGCCCACTCACGATCTGCCAGTGGGTTCAATTCTAAGAGAAATGCCCACGTCCGCTGCTGCAGCCCCTCCCCTGCCTACACACACACACACAGCAGTGCTGAAATCGGCTGAAACAAAGGAGATCAGGTGCTGCTGACAGCCACAATCATACCACTTGAGAAAAAGGCACTGATCATGTTTGTATGACGTGCAGGGGGAGGAACAGGGGAATCTGTTATCGCCTGATGAAGACCGCAGCATGGAGAGAACAGGCTGTTCATTTTGGATTAAACACACTAAACAATTCTTGGGGTTCATGCATTGTTACCCATCTTTTTCATGCTTATTGCAGTCTAACAGAACAGTTTGAGCACTTGTCTCGGTTGGCTACATCACCCAGTCATCTAGCGGCTTGGCTTGAAGAATTAACTAATGACAGTTCCTGCAAATAAATTTTTTTTAGTGGATATGATTGATTCCATGATATGATATGTGACCCTGGTCCACAAAACCAGTCATAAGGGTCAATTTTTCGAAATTGAGATTTATACATAATCTGAAAGCCGAATAAATAAGATTTCCAGTGATGTATGGTTTGTTAGGATAGGACAATATTTGGCCGAGATACAACTATTTGAATATCTGGAATCTGAGGGTGCAAAAAAATCTAAATATTGAGAAAATCGCCTTTAAAGTTGTTCAAATTAAGTTCTTAGCAATGCATATTACTAATCAAAAATTAAGTTTTAATATATTTACAGTAGGAAATTTACAAAATATCTTCATGGAACATGATCTTTACTTAATATCCTAATGATTTTTGGCATAAAAAAAAATCTATAATTTTGACCCATACAATGTATTGTTGGCTATTGCTACAAATATACCCCAGCAACTTAAGACTGGTTTTGTGCTCCAGGGTCACATATGATTGAGTTTAACATCAGCATGTTGCTAAGCTAATGGCAAGAAAAAAAAAGCACATGCAAATAATTTTATATACACTATACCGTTAAAAAATTTGGGGTAAGTATGATTTTTTAAATTCTTTTGAAAATAGTCTCTTCTGCTCACCATGGCTGCATTTATTTGATCAAAAATACAGTAAAAACAGTAATATTGAGAAATACTATTACGATTTAAAATAACGTTTTCTATTTTAGTATATTTTATAATGCAATGTATTCCTATGATGGCAACGCTGTAATTTCTTAATTTTGTAATTGTCACAATATTCTGCAGAAATCATCCTAATATGCTGATTTGCTGCTTACGAAACATTTATTATTATTATCAATGTTAAAAACAGTTGTGCTGCTTATTTTTTTGGTAACTGATTTTTTTTTTTTAAGCTTCTGCCAATCTCATGTTAATCTGGAGTACCTATAGAGTACTGCATCTTTCATATCTCCGAAGAGTCTTTAGTTTTATCAGATTTATAAAAGACAGATACAGCTTTGTGCTTCTCCCTGAAAACAGTCGAGCTCCTGGAGGCGTGCCGTGGATGGAGCTAAAGAGTCAATAGCACGCAGAGCTTTTGCATAGCAATCGTCTGCAAGCTGTGACCTCGACATAATAATTCCCTTATCGCTGGGTTCTTTGGGAAGCTGAACAAGGTTATCTTTCCCTCACAACCAAAAGCACATCTCTTCGGTGACATTGTTGATTTTGTGGTCAAAACAAAATACATACTCGAACCCTAAAGGAGTGTACTTGGCACAGAAATACTCCCCTTTAAGATTCTTCAATGAACAGAAAGTTCAAAAGAATGGTAGTGGTAGAGCATTGTACTATATTATATTCTTTTGAAAAAAAATTTTAATCGATACTTTTACTGATTATTATAATTATTACCAAAGAAAGCCTGATACAGATGCAAGTATATTTATATTCAATAAACATCTCTCGCTTTGTCCACCATCTTAGACTGTTTTTTACTTGGCACAATGCATTGTGGTATTGCCTTCACCCTGAAGAATTCATACAGTCCTGCCTTTTCATTTGGCATACTTACGCAGCCTAGTTTTTGGAATTGCCTTCGTGACTATGATGCCTAAAATGCTGCCTACAAAGATAGCTCAGTGGGTTTTGGAAAAGAGCAACATTGCCAAAGAATAAAACCACTTACATCTTTGCAGGCTGCTATCTGGTTGATATATTCTCCATCAGTAAATATGATGTTCTGACCATCTGCTTGTAGACCTGAGAAATAGAGTGACATTTAAACAGAGAAAATGTGTTGATGCTGTTAAAGGGGTCATATGATGTTGCTAAAAAGAACATTATTTTGGTGATTATTACGTTTTGAATATAGATATTGTTCTTACAAAAACACATCGATTTGCTGCAGGAGGCCTTTGTTCACCCCCAGGAGCCGTGTGAGACACTTTTTTGGATGGGTGCTTTTTATTTAACTTCTTTTGGACTGATGCATGCAACACCCGCTGAGTGGCATTAAACAGCTTGAAAGATCAAAGACAATTTTTAATATAACTCCGACTGGATTCGTCTGAAAGAAGAAAGTCATATACACCTAGGATGACTTGAGGGTGAGTAATTTGTGGGCTAATTTTCATTTTTGGGTGAACTAACCCTTAAACAATCTTTACGAGATATATTATTTTAAATATAAACTGCTTAAAATTACTACATAATATATCCATTGCTACAAAGATTCGGGGAAATATGTCCTGTTTCAATAGAAAACATGTCAAGACACAAGCCATTTATTTGCCCTGCTCTTAGCGATCAACAGCACATAAGAGGGGTGTTTGTACCCGGCATTGTGATGGTGCCCTCCTGCTCCAGAGTCTCTGGGTTCATCTTAATGGCCACCATGCTGTGACTGTTCATGTCTCGATACAGCAAACAACCCTGTAAAGCAAATCGCCACAGGAACATTTCTTTTGCAAGGCTGTACAATGAATGACATTTCTGGTTGAAAATGTCATAAGCATTGAATGATTTAAATTACAAGACATGACCAATAAATCAAACCCATATTAAGTGCTACACATGGAGTACAGTGACATTATACAAGTAGACAGACAATCAAGAGAAACATTTTCATAAAACAAGAGATCAATACCTGGGCGAATCCCAGCCATGAACTTTTCTCCTTACGGTTCCTGATACATGATGTGGAGTTGTACACATGGCCCTGCAATGATAGCCTCTTATTAGCACTAGGGATGTCAACGATTAATCGATGATGGATTAATTGTCGATAAGAGATGCAATCGATTAAAGCTATCGATGGTCGATTAAGCCGTTTAATTTTGGGCTGCGTGCGGCTCATGCACAAAGCACGTGCGAGCGGCTGTGAGTGACAGTGACGGTATATAAATGCATCATCAAGCAATAGGCCTAAATAAAAAGAAAAAAATAATTTAATTAAAAAAACAAACAAAAAAAAAACAGAATTTAAAACAGAAGTGTGGCGCGGCGCTCCATAATCAAGTTCACGGAAAGAAAAGGATGACAACGCGCAATTCTGTTTGTTTGCTTTATTTTACAAAAGCACACTCCAAAAATGGAGTTTTCTATGTTTCAGCTGTTTGATCGCACCGGCGCCTCGCGCGCACACACACACCACATATTCTAGCAATTCAAACTTACATCGCAGTCTGTTCATTATCAAAAAAAAATACAGTTTAAGAAACAAATAAGAAGTTACACTGCTCCGTTGTACAATCTGTTGCGTTCAGCGTGACCACCGCCTCACTGTGCTCATTAGCCAATGTGAAGGATGATGTTTTACGTCGATGAAAGTACAAAGCCTAGCCTATAATAAATAATATTCCAAATACATCTATCCAAACCCGCACTCCCTCCGACCTCGTACACGCACGCACGCACTGTCACGATCTAATGTACTGTAAATGCCGGATTTTTAAAAACAAACAGGCCTACCGCAACGCAAAAATTCAAAATCTGACATTTTCCGGAACAGGATCCAGCAGGATCAAATTAAGTACTGGTCATAATACTCACATGATAATGTTTCATGTTAGCAACAGTGTGTTTTGCTGCAGCAGCGCCGATGGAAGCGGTTCACTGACTGCGCAGCACAGCCACACGCGCCACAGTTACGTTTGGGATCATTTTATTTTAAATGCCATCATGCCAGTTGAAAACATTGCAATTGTGTTTTAAAATACAACAACGAGCACCACGAAACCATTTAAAGAGGCGCGTTCAGCGGTCTCCGTGACGGGATAGGAAACAGCCAACAAAGTAAAATTCTCAAACGAGCTCTCTTAATTTTATCAAATGATCATAATCACATCTATTCATTTTACAATCCTGCTACTAGCATTTTATTCAGACTAAAACCCCTTTAATTTTTTTTGAGTGGCTTTTGCACATCCTGTCATGCCGGTGACTGCGTGCTGCTGCAATAGACGCATTTTGCTGCATTAAAGTTAACGAACGACGATCGATCATGGAAATTATCGAAAATTGACATCCCTAATTAGCACCCACACAAACACAAGGATATACAACCTGCTGCATCAGCACTAAACTACAACCACGACTTCACAAATCTCAAAACTGGAGAGGCACCTGTCAAATAAAAGCCTGAGTTGAATATAAACATTCAAACTGCACATAAGGATGTTTTATACCACCTTTTTAATTATATAATTATGTTTCTACACCATATTCATTGTTGAAATATAAACATTAAAACAATGGCTGTACAAATATTTTCGATGTTCATATTAATTGATATGAATATTTAATGAATATTTCTGAAATGCTGGCGCATATCACTAGTAATTACTAATAGTTACAGATAATAATTGAACCATTTATTTACTCTGAGAACTAGCTTAGCAAAATTAACTTATATCATTTCCATTGTGTAATCAGCTAAATAAAGAATGTTCTCACCCGCACAGTGCCACTGTACCCTGAGCCCACTTTGTAGAGGCCATCTTTACAGAGCAGGTACAGGAAGGAACCATCAGTCTGAAGAAGACAGCGTTCATCTTCATCAATGTTCACCTCCTTCAGGACCCATTTGTTCATCAGTGCAGCTCGTTTGATGCCGTTCCCAATCCAGTCCTGGATCTGGATCTTTCCCACCAGCACAGCCTGCACACTCCTCTGAAGCGCGTTCAGGATTGTTGGAACCTTTTGTTACACAAATACAGTCAGGTCAGATAGTTCTTGAAAATATAGTTAAACATCTTAAACAGTTCTTGAGAATCCTTCCTCTTGAGAAAGCACACAAATACAGAATTATTTTCTGTGCCTTCTTGCACCTAAACGGACAAATACACAAAAATGTCAAAATGCCTGTTCTGCTGAGTATCCTTGTAAACATAGTCAGTTATGTCTTAAGTGAATGTAAACAAATAAGTGAAAAATGGATGTGCAACAGTATATTAGATCTGTGCAAAACACTGTAAAAAAAAAAAAAAAAATTATCAAATAACAATTATTGGAGTACACTACTTTAGTCTAGCAATTTCGGAGTAAAATTGTTTCAAAATAAATCCAGCACCATTTATTTTACTGTAGGTCTTAAAATGACAGCAGCCTAATATAGCCTACCTTACATTTGATAACTTTATTCGATTTCTGTTGTATTTCATACTGTACCTGAATGCTACTATTAGAGCGTTTTCAGTTTACTTGTCTTTAATAATGTTTGAACTTATTAGTTGGCTTGTAGTTTTCACTGTGGCCTCAAAACTGGAATCAAGTATTGGGACATTTTTTATTATATTTAAAATGTTGGTGTCGTAACAACCTTATTTATTAAAATACAATGTTACATGGGTCAAAAAAAACAGAACAAAAACGTTTTTGTGTAGAGGCCAGTGAAAATTTCAGCAGGGCAAAAATTGGCATTGATCTAAACGACTTGGTTGGTTTGTCATTGGTTTGAATCAGTCAAATGACTCGCCCCGTGGCTGAATAACACTGGCATGACTCACTCAGTGAAGTTATGTTCCGAAATGAACAAGTGTTGGGGTCTTATTGTTGTACTTTAAGGCTTGTGAGACTTACATCAATATAGTTACTGACTGGTTGTTCATTTAACTGTGTGAAGTTAAGATAAAGCCCTACCAAACCCCTCTCTGCACTCCTTGACCTTTACCAGGCTTTCACCAGAAGGACAGCATGCCCCCTTCAGCTATGTCACATTTTATCCCCAGGACACTTTATTTTCCCTGTTTAATATTTATGTTGATCTTTATTTAACATAAACAACTGTGTCTGTCTTCGCTGACCCCGCCATAGAGTTCAGTCAATGGCAGTAAGGTGCTTTGATGAGAAGGGGTGTAACGATACCGAAGTGATTCAAGCAATCCAAAACCATCATGGTCGTCCGTGTTTAAAGTGTCTCAGCAAGGGTCGGGGAAGGCCAAGAGAGTATCGCGGGGTATGTACTGTGGGTGGTGTATCGTGGTTTTTCGGTTCGGTTTGAATATTGTTACACCACTATTGATGAGTGATGCTATAGATGACAAAGAGGTTTATTGATATTCTAGAACATCAATGTTATTGCTTTAGATGACTCTTCAGTCAATAATGCCATTTAGTTTTATTGCACTAGCTCTCCAGAGGATGAAGTACTCTTCTCTGTTCTTTAACTTCAACTCAAGTCTTACACTGCCAGCTCTCAAATTATTTCCATTATTCATTTCAAACTATCCATGTCAATAAATCGATTCAAATCCATGATTCAGCGATTTGCTCATGGAAATCCCTGTTGCTTTTTCATACAGAAAAAACGCACAAGTAAATATTGATGTTTACTACCATGTAACATTATATTTGTGAATATGAATTAAAATGATTAAATATTGTTTATGCTTAAGTCCATTTAGTCGTAAACAAAGTGGAAAACATGCCTTCATTATTTTAAAATATATTCTCATTGTATTTTACTTAAGTGCATTAAACGTACATACTGGGCAACAATGGCTGATTGGTTTAAATTAATTTCTCTAATTACAAAAAAATAAATAAATAAATAACTGTTTAAGCCATTTAAAAGCAAATGCATATATATACATATATCTATTATATCATTAAAAATCTGAAAAATATCGTTAAGCTCTGCAAAGCACTTGATCTGGACATACACGGCAGCATTTGCCTGTTCTTCAGTTTCATTCTGAACCACTTTAAGTTGGACGTGTGCACTGTAAACTGACAGTGAGCGACGGCTCAGATATCACACTTTACACAAGCTATGCAAGTTACTCATACTCCAATTAGGTTGTAGTTACCGTGGTAACAACAAATGAACTTCTCCGATGTCTAAATCAGTGTGACACTGACAGAGAGCATTAAAACGCATTTAAATAAGCAAAAAAAAAATGACAGACCTATATCATGCAGATGGTAGAAGACTAAGGAGTAATTGGCTGAGGGACTTTGCGCTGGCAGAATAATATAATAAAGACAGGAAATCAGAGAGATTTGACATTTTCAGGCAATTCAATTGTTGACCTCCACATGCAGTTGCAGTTCTGGCTATTGCACGCTGAGAGATGAGCGGCAATGTGCTGTCATCCTGACTTCAGATGAACAGCAGCTTTTTATGCAGTTTAAAATCTCAACCTCACTTGCCAAGCCAGAAATCCACTAAACTTTTAAAACTTCAGGTACTGCTTTCTGAATTTTGGATCCTTTAAAAGGAGATGCAGAGATGTAGGTGCTACACACAACCAGAAACAGCACAAATTTGACAGACTTCACCAAATTTTACTTTTATCATTAGATCTTCTAGTGTTTAGGAATAATATCTATTTAATAATATCTATCTAGAAACAGTTCAGCGGCATCAGTGGAAGAAGCTACTTCCTCAAAACACATGCAATCTCAAAACACTGACTCACCTGGATGGTCTGACATGCATGACTGCCATTGTTGGTGAGGATGGCAGACACAGCCTGGAGGATTTTGCCAGTGTCTCCCCAGGCCACCACCAGGCTGAAGAGGCAGGCACAGGATAGTGCTGTGAGGGTCTGACCGGTGGGGTCGTTCATCCCTGTGCTCCGCACCGTTGTCTCCAGCAGAAGATGAAAGAGAGACTCTGCAGGGCCAACGGTGGAGTCATGATTAAAACATACAGACTCACTTATATATGTTATCACTTTATTTGAACAGGACAGGGTATCTCACCCAGAACATCTGGAGGTTCGGTCTGAAAGCTCTCCGGCTGCTGCCCCTGGAGCATATCTAGAAGTGCCTGAAGGCTCCGTAAGCACAGTGACGGGTGCGAGAAACGAGTCTCTTTGATGAGCTCAAACACTCCACATAGCCCAATACCAATGATCTGAGGAGCAGAGGAGCATAACTGTGAAGTAACATTCATCCACACTAGAGATTGACCAAAATTACATTTTAATGGCCAATGCCAATATCTAAACAGTAGGATGGCCACTGACTGATAAAGGCAAATTAATCATATAAAATGTATATTAAAATGTAATAACAACAATAACATTTTCTTCAAACGTTTAAAAACAATGATTCAATACAGAGCCAAGAACCAAACAAACCAACTCAAGAGTTGAGTCACACATTACAAACTTTTATTTGAACTGCTGAGTCAGATTTCTGCTGCCATGGTAAGAGCGCCTACTCTGATTGGTGGAAATCGCTTCAGGATTGTGGGTAATGTAGTTAGGGTTAGGGTTAGCCAATGATAGACCTGTCTTGAAAGGTTTATATATTACTGTTCAAACTTAATTTCTCTACAAAAAAAAAAAAAAAAAAATTATTTTTTTTTTTTATTTTCCCACAAC